AGTAATATTGCTGTATAATTTTGATCTTGTACGCCTCTCTGTAAAAAGAAAGTCTAATTTGAAAAATGTGACAGAACTTTTCCGCCAACCTAATACATCGGCTGACTCCCGCAACTCATCGTAGCAATGAATAATGCATACTCCCAAGAAAGAACTGACGGAGGGCGAAACCATCATTCTTTACCCTTATTAAATAAATCCCTATTAATCTTCAAAAATGAATAAATTAAAATAAAATTTGAGAATGCGAACAAATCTACCTTGCCCATATTCTCCACAACAACCACTTCCAGTTCAACCGTAAGTGCATGGCCAGCTTTGTCCTTTTGTTTTCCCGAAATTTTCCACCTGTAAAGCAATTTCCAATATTTCGAAAAACCAAGGAATGACTACCATGATACTTACCCGTTAACTTCGAATTTAATAGTTTGCTTGTTCGAATACTTTTATGAGCTCTTGTTTTACTCTTTCAGGATCTGTCGAGTTAGTTACCGATACGTTAATCATTCCCTGTAACAGAAGAAAAAAAAACTATTAGACGAACTAATTTGTCAGGTAAAAGAAGTTTGTTTACCTCCACAGTTTTCAATATCTGCGGCGAGTCATTTTTCAGTTTCCGAGGTGTCAAAAGATTAATCACACGATCTGCTTTACGTTCCAGTGACGCGAACACCTGAAGTACTACAACTGAAGAACTGGAAATGGAAATATAAGCGGTTTGGAAGCCGGAATCTAGAAGCACAGATAAAAAAGTTAGCTAGGTCAAGGGCACATATGGGCGCGATTTACCCTGCACATTTGCGTCCTCTCATCGAGATAGTAATCCCAGAGAGACACAACGTTAGAGTGCGCAGACGACTATAGTGGGGTTGACATGGTTTCGCACCGTACCCAGCAGCCCTTATCTCCAGACATTCTAACAACAAACCCTTTGTTTAAGTCTGGGAGTCTTCGTGGTGGATCTTGGATGCCGTGTTGATTCGGGTTCCGCTTTACCACCAGAATATGCTGGTGACTCTGCTCCACTTCTTTCCGTCGATCGAGCTCTAAATATTCCACTCACGAGTAATCTCGAATGTAGCTACGAACTAAACGGCGCAGTTCGGCTTGGTGGGGCACCGAATGGTACTCAGCTGAGCTTGCACGACACTTTGAGATGACCTGCAAATTCCTGTGAACAAAAGAGGCTCACTCGAACAGCGAAAGTGCAGAATGCCCCCTACAAGCCGAACAGCTCCAACTTAACTAATAAATTACACAAAATTAATAAATTACACAAGTTTCCAAAAAAATCGCGTGCCTCTGTCGTGATCCAGCCGGGCTGAACAGTCCTTTGAGTGCAGGTCTCTGTGGGGTAGTATATATACTTCGAGGCCGAGTACCACGTTCATCTTGAAAATGATTAGAACGTATTTCGTTCTCACAGCTTGTGCATGTTTTCCCTTCAGAATCGAATTACTCAATCAATTTAAATATTTGACACATACTAGTAATAAATACTCAATGTTGTAAGCTGTGAATGAAGATGCACTGAGAAAAAGCGGACCTCCATCCTCAGAAAATGAAGAAACTCACCAATAATTTTGACCGGTCCGCGAACGCGGACACTAGCAGCACCGGTCTTGTAGTTCTCCTTGTCATAGCTATTCTCATACCCGACATTTGGCTAGAAAGCTTTAGCCTTATGTGAGTACGTCACAGAAGCAAAGCATCCAACAAGAAAGAATTTTTTAGTCCGAGGAATCGTTACTACCGTAATCCGCGCGATTGCTTTAGTTTTTTTTTTCAAGTCTGAGAACTTCTAATCGTCATGATTATCCGGCACTGCCGTTTTTTTTACCACACTCGCTTATTCACTTGATGAGTACGGCACGCATGGTGTATTCACCAAGCTCCGAGCCTGGGAAATTGGTCCACGAACAACTTGAACTTAACGCGCCGGTTTTCTGTTATTCTCCGCAAGCTCTCGTCTCTAGAGCATTCTATGGGTCACTTGTAACCTCACCCGTTCAGGCTTTCACGCACGCAAAGCGGCTCACTTACCTCCGAGTTCCCTCGCACACCTCGCAAAAGTCCACCCCACAACTCGCCAGTATTCTGCCTACACTTGCTAGCCACACACCCTGCATTGTCCTGTTGAGAAACCCTGCAACACAGGAAGGTGCACTGTACCTTCCTGTGTTGCAGGGTTTCTCAACAGGACAATGTACAAAAGTTCAAGTTGTCACGTAACGAAGGGAGAGGGTCCCACAACGATCTGGGTCACGGTAGCAGCAGTTCACCGGACTGTTTTTTCTTTCTTATCATATTCAGATACTAAGAGAATATCAAACCTTTCCCCGCACAGAAGTCTTCTGCACCGGTCTGTACGGTGTTGAGCCATTGGTGATCGGAGAGTCATACAGCCTTTGCTGCGGAGATCGTCCTGTGCATATCGTAGGCGTGTTCAAAATTGCATTGATGTACGAAGTCTTCTGGAAAAAAGTTAATATTAGTATAAAAAGTTAATATGTTATACCACGTCCAGTTGTTTTACAGCCAGAACACGTCCTGCCGTTGGGGACATTTTTGAAATAGACATCACCTCAAAACTTCTTCCTCCAGAACAACCTCCTACACACTTCCTCATTCTACTTTCCATCT